TTAATTTTGTCTGAAATGTAGTATGAAGAGTTGGAAATGTTGTTAGCAGTTGCTCTGCCAACTTGCTCCAATTCAGTCAGTCTTTTGGCAACCTGAACTACAGGATTCTGGCCTTTTTTCACAAGTTTCATCTTCTGTAGGTGGTTTTCAAAAGGAAATGCTGAAACATCATTTAAAGAGCACTTGAATAAACATACATCGTCAGGTAAATGAACAAGGCTGTGAATGATGAAAACAGTAAAGGTTCCACCATAGAGGTCTTCACACTTGCCAACAAAATGTTTCAGTAGATCTTTCGCATACTGAATGAAATAGCATCTCCTATTTTTGTTTGTTTCCAACAAAACTGACACTGACACAGCCAGTTCCAGGAAATGAAAATACAAAGGCTCAGACACTACATCCTTCATCACAACTGGTCCTGTATACAAGAGGAGACTGCGGAATTCAGTTGCTTTCCACCTTTCCAAATCGGTCAATGGCCTTGGCTGACAAGCAAACTCACGAGGTAGAGATCTACTTAAAGCAGCAAGGTTCTCATATTTGTCCACGTTGTCTAACTGAAAGCTTACATATAGGGGGTCCTTGAGTCAAAAAGTACAGTATCCTTCTGACAGCACCCAAACAAACAAGATGCATGTAATCCAAGCTAAATTGTGAAATGCATGCTATTCTATGAGCTGCTAGTGGTGTTAACTTTGCTTGATGGTCTGGGTACTGAAAGCTATTAAACTGGTCATCCATTCGCTTTGCCACAGCCCGTTTACCATCAAATACCACTCAACCATTCAATTTTCCTCTGATTATACAATGCTCACATGAAAAGTAAGAATTGTGGGCTTTGGTGCACTTTAAGTATGCTCGTGCATGAGCATCACAAACAAAAGCCTTTATGACAATTTTGTACAATTTTTCTTCTAACTTTAGTCCATGCTGTATTACAGGGGTCGGCAACCCTTTTGACATGGAGTGCCAATTATATATTTTCTTGTTAGTCCGCGTGCCATGTTAACAACGGGGGCGGGGGGGGCTACCATCGAGTAGTCAAACCAAAGCAGCAGGCGCGCCAAGCAACAGCCAATGACATTTCAACATCATAGAAGACGTCTGAAAAATTTTAATGTGTTTAATAATTAGGGTTGTGATCTAGAGACCTGCGCGGGACGAATTTTTCAGTCCCGCTCCTGGCTGCTCCCGCAAAAAAATATATATATTATTTTCTCCAGCTCCCGTCCGCAGTATTCAAGTTTTGTCCCGCTCCCGCCCGCAAAATCCCGCAGGTAAACATATAAGTAGTTTTATTTTTACCGCTTCTTCCCGCTACTCTGTTATTTGTTTCACTTGCTTCCCTTTTGAGTGTATATAAAAAAGAAACGGAAAATAAACAAATATGTTTTGTTTTATTTGAGTTTAATTAAATGGAATGATGAACATGGACATGAACGAGGAGCTTTTCAGAACATAGAAATACACTCAGAACAGTTAGAAATAGGCTAATAATATTGCAATTGTCACACCCGCTCCGTCCGCTCCTACTGTGTGCCACACCCACCTCATTACCTCGTGTTCAGTCCTGATTGTGATCACCTGTGTCCTGTTATGTCTAGCTAGTCTTTTGTATTTAGTCCTCGTCTGAGTCAGTCTTCCCCAGACTTGTCATTGATGTTAACTGTCGTGTTTCCCCAGTCCTGCTTCCCGAATAAATCCCCGTTTTACCCTGCTTCCTGGCTCCGATCGCCTGCTTTCCGGCTCGCTTGCCCCGCGATCGTGACAGCAATGAAACAAAATAATAATAAACGTTGATTTCTCAAGTGGTCAAACAGAAAAGCATTTGGCCTAATACTGCTTCAGAGCGTTAGCCTTTAATTTAGTCATTCTTGTTGCAATTGTGCAGTAGATAAATATGTAAACTGCATCATATAAATGTAAGTAACATTAATAAAATTATTTTACTGATGTATACTGCAGTGTGTAGCCTGTCACTCTCTGACGACAGTTATAGATAATTTGAGTTTGCGATTATGTCGCACGCGTAAATGTTAGTTTTTTAGCCGGTTAGGCGGTCCTAGATAGGTTATAAATGTTCTATGTTGAAGTTTGTAAATGTTACTTACTCGTTGTTATTGAACCTCCAGATTAAGCATTGCAGTGTCTGAAGTGAACTGTCTATCGGCAACGTTAAGTTGTGGAATGCTAACGTAACGT